GCCATATGCTGTTAATGGATATAAATAAATATATATACATATATATATATATATATATATATACACAAGTAAAAAGTTCAAATCATCTGGAGTAGAGTGCTCAATACCGTAGTAGAGCTGAATATAATATAATATAATATATATATATATATATATCAGGCTATAAAAAGTCAAAATGTACCTTTTTCATTCCAGCGGTAAAACGTTCCTTTGCATCAGACTGTAACGTGAGATTTGCAGTGGCTGCCTGTGCCTATATTTAGTGATAATAAAACAATATCTACAATTTATTATGTTCTGGTTCTGGTGGGTTAAGTAGCATTTCTAAGGACTCTTGAAGAAAAAGCAGGAAGGACATTTGCTCCCATTACCCACTGTACAGAAGTGGACCTCCCTCCCTAACATTAATATGCATCTATTATTTTTAACTTCTTTAAGAGTTCTCTTAATTCTTTCCGACCTTCATTATTACAAGTAATTCAGTCGTTAGGCTGCTAGTTCTTTACGTTTCATTAAATAAATCTTTTACATGTTATAGTTGATATTAGAATGACCATATATGTATATTAAGTCAGGGTCTTTTTATGGCATACAGTAGTCGATATTGTTGTATATGCTTCTACAGTAATTGCATTGGTGTACCCAATAAGGAATCGTATATTATCAATGCATTCCTTCCTATTTTCTATTTTATATTCATGTATATGTATTGTATTTATGACGAAAAATTGACTGGTTTATGAAAATTAAAGTCATGTATAATGCATATTTTTTTTTTTTAATGTCATTTTTGAGGAAATTTGTAGACACTGTGTCTTTAATCTTAGGGCTTTGCAGAGCTTTTTACTTTGTATTTGATTTGTACGTCCCCATACAACATGGCAGTATTCAAGGTGCCATTGGTTGCTTAAGCACTAATAAGCATGAATAAAACGTTTCAGAATACATGTATAATATATTGAATACTATACATACGAGTTATACATTACTAATAATATGCCTGACTAATTTTGGCGTATGCGGACTATATTTGGCAGGTAATGTTTATACAGGCGGATCGATATTGGACCCAGGCACGACTTATTTTTAGTAGGAAATATTTGCATGAAACTCCACCCGGGTCACATTTTTAGGTACACGTCGTCGTCATGTCATTGTGTTTGAAATGATACTGTTGCTTACTGTTGGCATACTGTATCATGGCTACTGAATCAACCCAAACACGCGTTCTTCTCTGGACAGCACCTCGATGCATGTCTACTGCGTTTACGCGCTCAGTTAATACACTCGATGATTCTGTGGTTTTTCACGAGAACTTTAAAGCCGCATATTTCTATGGACCTAAAGGGAATCAAACGAACCTATTTAGCTTTGCTCCCTACCATACGTATGACTATGTGAAAGCCTTACTTCAACAGGAAATGCCAGGCAAGAGGGTACTTTTTGCAAAGGATTTTGCTTACGTATTGCAAGGGAAGTTTGAAAAGATTCCGGACGGTTATATTCACACTTTTTTAATCCGGAATCCAACAAAGGTATTCATGTCACTACGTAACCAGTATAAGATTAAGAGCCTTTTCTTTGGTGATGAAATGCAAAGGTATCAACCGACACTTGAAGTATATTTCGTGGACTAGTGGAAGCTTTATATGCACATCACAGATGATCTCAAGAAACCTACCCTCGTTATTGATGTTGATGATTTCTTGCAAGATCCTGAAGTAATGATGAAGATTTATTGTCAATGAACTGGCATACCATTTCGAGCATCGATGTAGTATATGGAATGTGGATTGGCAATGTAGCACCTTTTTAAAATATGTTACGTGGTGGCAGGGTTGGTATAAGAACGCTTTCAATAGCAATGGATTTGGAAATTCCAAAAGAAAGACCAATTATACTCAAGAAGTTACAATGCTACCAGCAGACATCAGAAAACTTGTGGAAATCAGTGAACCGTATTATAAATTACTGTATGATAAAAGAATAACAATTTGATTTCGGTATCAATTTCCAATATGGTAGAGCTGGCTTGTGTACTTTAATGTATAATAAAACCTCTATAATTATTAAACGGACAAACTTCATCGTGTTTAGAACCCAGCAGAAGCGATCTGAAAAAAAAAATCATAAAAATAATTTTTGATAGAAACACTTCCAGTCACTGGAAGTGTTTCATTATCTTTATTATAATTATCCAGTTAAAAAATCAGGGAACACATTTTTTTAATTTAATAATTTCAATGCTCAAGTTAATAATTTGTTAATAATTAAAGTTAATTTAAAAGTTGTTTTTATGATTTTGGTCATTTTCAAGGGACAGTACATCTTTAAAGTATAGTTAACAGTTAAAAGCATGGTCAGAATATGAAACCATATTTAAAGAAATTATTATTATTATTTAAAGAATGTGAAAATTAATATACACAAGAAGCAAAAAGAAACAGTTTAAAATGAAATCAAATTTTTGAAGGAATTTAATGAACTGTGTGTGTCTGGGGGAAGATACCAAAGATACGGTATGTTCCAAAAGGCTAACTAAGCGGTATTTTAATGTTTTTCCCCCAAATTTGTTGCTATTGTCAAGTGGGCTATTGCATCATTGATGCTCTCGTTTTTATATATTTTGGCTTATCTTGTTTTCTAGGCCTACTTTGGTATCTAGGACAAGTCACCCAAACTAGGCATATTTTAGCCTATCGCATCGTACTGCTGCTCAGCATAGCATAGCTGGTTTCAATATCAGCCCATCACGTATTCAGTGAATGGCAGCAGGAGCATAACTTAAAATTTGCTGTTCTTTCGAACACGTGGTGAATAGCTAGATTTAACAGTGTAATGGAAGCGTTGCTTCCAAGAGTATGTGCACATGTTCCTCTTCGCGCTGTTTCTCTCTGCAGTAGCCTGTATATATATGTTTTCTACATATTATAGTCACTGTGATATAGTAGATTCCAAAATATGTTAACCAATCCGCTAATGTGTCATATTTTTTGCCCCTGGACCACTTTAGAAAGATTTTGAGTGATGCCCAGGTCTGTATTTGCAAGAGATGGCAATACAAATCCCTTAATCTCAGTTTAGTAAATATTATAACAACAAGCCATTTGTCTTGCCTTATCCGACATCAAACAAAAATTTTGGAAATGAGATGCTGATGATAGCATATATATATATATATATATAAACAGGGCTTGAAATTAAGGGATAAGTGTAGGTTTCAGTTCTTTGATCCAAAGCATTTCTTTAATTAAGTAATCAAACTTGGATTTGCACTTAGATAAAACCTTGAAATAATTAACAGTTTCAGTAGCACTAATATAATGTTCTTTTAAATGTTGTCCTATGTTACCTTTACTGTGCATAATCATTTCTTATTTAAAATAGAATTATTTAATCAATAAGTAACTTGTGTTTTTTTTAAATGAAATTAATGATTTTCTTTAAAAAGATGCTACCCAAGGCGAGACTTTTTTTATACCTTGTTTGACAAACTCGCTGACTATTGTACATTTTACTGTACTGTTTTTCCGATTTAAAATGTTTGTGCTCGTTAGCAATTTAGATTTGTTGTTGATGTTATCCATGACGTACCGCGAAATGCCAGGCCTCTGAAAGTCCCCATCGTTGGTATTCGCCACGTTATTGGAAATTTTTATTTCAAATTTTGCGAAAATGGTTTATAACATTCCCTGCAAGTTCGTCGTTCAAAACTGGTGCCGAATCAATGTTTTAGAGCCGCCCATCAGAGCCATTAATAATAATAATAATATTAATAATTTGCCACAAATATAGTAATAATATCTAATAATATTAATAATTTAAAAAAAATACTTAGACCTACT